GACAGTGGAGGTGTCTGCTCGTCAATCGCACGCACGGTGTCCGCACTAATGTGTCGTTGGTGTGTCCCCATGGTCTGTTGAGCAGTTTCCGCAGCAGTAACAAAGCTATCATGAAGATGTTGTCGCACAATCTGACGATCCTGACGTCGGGTAGAGACCCTTTGTCTTCCACTACTTGGTCGGTCATCTGTAGTTCCTGGAGCCTGTATATGGTCCTTACGTTGATTGGCTACTTGCCCTGCGGTTTGTCCAGCTTGCAATCATCCAAGGGCTTGGTGTCGCTGATTTCGTGTCAATCTTAGCATGTGGTAGCACTTCAATAACGAATGAATGTTATCCGATCTGGGTGGATTTTTATAGGGCAAGAAATGGGGGAACGCATGTGCATTTAAATTTGCACGGAACTCACGTGCATCGGGTTACCATGGCTATTGCCGTGATGTGTTTGGGCGATCAGTTTTATTGACATCTGCTTTGTTTTTTATCATCAATTTTCATTTTTCCGGACAAGGTAACGTTAAATTTTAGAAACTTTGACAAAAATTACCCAGATATTTAAAAGACAACTTTTCATGCAATGTTACTTGGGGTGACGTTTCTTTTACGGTTCAGTATATAGCAAATAGGAGAGCATGGCAGGAGAGATTAAAAAGAAATTACAGATTGACATGGCGTTAAGAAGATTAAATTTAAATTATTAAGTAATCAGTAAAATTTGCACTTCAAACAATAACAGTTGACTGAAAAGAAGAAATGATCATTCATGATGATTGCACATCATAAAATAATATATCATTTCATTCTGATAAAGGAACAAATATGCATATGATACAAAAGTATACATTATATTTTTCTTATAAGTGAACACATATATGAGAAAACATATTTTAGATACATAATTCTGAAAAATGAATTATACATATCCTACAAATTGTATATTATTTAAAAACATTCTGATTAATAAATACCTCCTTACCAACTTCTAACATGGCAATCAAACAGTTCATATAACATCACTGTTATGAATGAAGAGGCATAGCATATTATATAAACAGCATTCGGATGAATGAACAGATATCAGAGAAATAATATTTTATTTTATAGCACTTTTATATATGAAGGCATATCTGAGAAAACTATAGTATATAATGTCATTGTTGTTCATGCGTTCGGTCACCAGTTTGCCTGCTCCAGACTTTACCAGGCGAGCCGATCCTCGACACCTTCCAGTCGCTATATCCACTGTACGTGCAATCGCATCTTCCCGAGGCAAGGGAGTTAAGTGACTTTAAAAGTCCAGTTTCTACTGGACTTTTATAGCCAGTTAACTCCCTTGTCTCGGTGAGGTGGTGTAATCGAGGGCGTGTCACTTCAGGGTTCTTTTGTGCGTTAAGATCTAATGAACAGTTTAAAAAAATCAGTGTTAATAAAATATCTGGTTAGTCCATAAATCAAAGAATACAGAGCTGCTGCGGTTTACCCCCAACGGGAAACTGTGATATATAGTGCTGTCTTGAAGCAACTGTCAGTATTATTACTCGGGAAAGTAGTATCTTTGATGTAATACATCCCCAAATATTTTGTGACAACTTATAAACTCCGTATCCTTGAAATGACATCTCACGAAACACCCAGATTACCGACTAACTGCAGCCCATAAATAACACAGGTTGGCCTTGTGGCTGTAAAACTCGATATGTCAAGCTGATGACAATATTAATTCCTCAAACAAACCCTTTGCTTATAGATCTGTCAGTATAGTAATCGGCATATCGGTGAATAGAAACGATCTTGGGCGTGTTTATTTTTATTTCGTTTAGCTCTTTTCAATTTGAAAGAAGGAAACAATGAAATATGAACATCGAAGAAAAATTATTACATTACACTTTTATTTATAGCAACTTCTTTTATTCTTTGTCACGACGTTTCACAGCTACTCCTTCCTCCTTCAGGTGATAGCTGAGTAAGTGCACTGAGTCTGTCTGTATGTATGTCTGTATGTCTGTATGCCTGTCTGTATGTCTGTCTGTCTGTCTGTCTGTCTGTCTGTCTGTCTGTCTGTCTGTCTGTCTGTCTGTCTGTATGTCTGTATGCCTGTCTGTATGTCTGTCTGTCTGTCTGTCTGTCTGTCTGTCTGTATGTATGTCTGTCTGTCTGTCTGTCTGTCTGTCTGTCTGTCTGTCTGTATGTATGTATGTATGTCTGTCTGTCCGTGGATAAGGTTACACAACGTAAGATGGGATGACTGTACAGAGACAACAATATGATCATGAAGCCAGTATGATTAACAGGAGAGGTTTCAATTAAGTGAGGTGAAATTGGGTTTAACGTCGCTTCCAAGATTTTTGCGCTTATATAGTGACGTGCATGCACGTGTGTGTGTGGCTGCTTGTACTAGTCCGGACTGATGCCGATTTATAGTGCTAACACACTGAGATTCCATGCCGCAGTTTAACATGGATACCCCATCTGACACAGTGTACTCACTCCGAGCCGACCAGTCCTTGTTTTAGCCCTTTAATGCCGAGCGCCTGACAGGGTAACAACAAGTACCATCTTTTAACGTCTTTTGGTATGACGTTCAATTAAGTACACCGGAGGTGTAGTGATGTCAAGGTTATTGTGACACAAGCATTAAGGCAATCAAGGTGTCCATAGTGGTTGATGACGTGATCATAGCACAGTGGTGGAGTACACACTGGGTAGGTAGATACCTTGGTCTCTGTTAATGGCTGACATTGGAGAGACTTCACGCCCTTGGCCACCAGGATAAAAGAACACAAGACCTCTGTTGAAAACTCTGACATGAAATTTGCCCTTTCGGAATTCTGACAACCATAGTTCCTGGTTACAAACCAAGATTCTCCATACCAACATCAGTCATGGGATAAAGGAAACTTCGAAAGCATCGAAATCCGAAGCAAGAAGCCAGCCATTAACAGAGACCAGGGTATCTACCTACCGAGTGTGAACCATTGTGGTCTAACCACATATAACCATAAACTGTAGGATTCCTTTGGAATCCCAGGAATCCGAAACAATCACCTTGCCAGCTGATGTAACAGACTTTGCATTTATCGGAGGAGTATACGTTAGATTTTCCCACTGCTTTGAATTTTGTTCTGTGTATGTCCTATACTGGTGATCCTAAGAGACTCGCCCATGGTTACAAATCATGCAACAAAATCAGCTGGGTCTGCTCCAAATCGGAGCAACGTCTTACGAGAGCCAATAAACATGGACCGGTTCCGTTCAGGAGTCAGAAGCCTTGGAACCCAGCGTCCTGAAACCTTTGTCATGCATAGTTCACATTCTCAAGGTGTTTTGGGGGGCACGGGTGGCCCAGTCGTCTATGGCGCCGCGATTCGCTGTGCAGAGTTGCGTCCCTTGGCCACGCCAGAAACCTTTGATTGTGGGTTCGAATCCCGGTTCGTTCCGATTATGTTCCTAGGTTTGTCAGCACCATACCCGTGCTCGTGGGTTTCACCGAAGTGGTAAACTTCTGAGACCTGCATCACTTCGGGCTTTCCTCCCACATTAAGCTGACACGCCGTGATATAACTGGAATACTGTTTAAAGCGGCGTTAAACCCAACTCACTCACTCACTCACTCACTCACTAAAAGCGTATTGGCTGTGTCAAGTGTTGTGAGTCTTCAATCATCCAAAATCAGATCACATACTTTCCATAGTGGTGCCAGTTGAAGGTCGTCCTGATCGTGGATGATCTTTGGGGCTCTCTCTTCCCAACTTGATCTCTGCTGTTAGGCATACACGTTACAAGTTATCGAACGACGGTTATCGAAAAGATACTTGCAATAAGGCTGTGGCAGTTAACAATATCTCATAGCGGCCAACTTATTTGCAAAGGAAATGGCTATTCGATGGTGATGTGGTTAATACAGGTATCTCATTTGTGTTTTATAAATTACGTTTCAAGTGTTTCGGCGACCTTTTTCAGCTCAGTAACGTTTTATAAAGTTTGTATTTTTTGGTCTAATCCAATTTTCAAGTGTATACACTCTTTTTCTAAAGGTATAGTTGTTTCTTGTCAGATAAGGGGGCACGGGTGGCCCAGTCGTCTAGGGCGCCGCGATTCGCTGTCCAGAGTTGCGTCCCTTGGCCACGCCAGAACCCTATGATTGTGGGTTCGAATCCCGGTTCGCCCCGATTATGTTTCTAGGTTTGTCAGCACCATACCCGTGCTCGTGGGTTTCACCGAAGTGGTAAACTTCTGAGACCTGCATCACTTCGGGCTTTCCTCCCACATTAAGCTGACACGCCGTGATATAACTGGAATACTGTTAAAAGCGGCGTTAAACCTAACTCACTCACTCACTCTTGTCAGATATCCATGGACGTTTGAAGATTTGCTAATGACAAAAATTGTTGCACATGATATCAATCATTGTATTGTCTGATCCAGACTGGATTATTTACAGGCCACGGTGATGTATCTGGAATATTTATTATTTATTATTATTATAGTGCGATGTTCAGCAACAAACAACACACAAATATTATCTCATTTTACAATGTCTTCCCATCTAAGAATTGACGAGTTGAATTATCAGTGTGACAGTAACGACGTCAATGCCCTACATAAAACCCTTTTCGCAGAATGTTTGGTATTGTTCGTATTGTTGTAAATGTTTTATGATAAACTTAATGTTGAAGATAATAACGTGAAGATCCGGGGTAGAATTGGTCTTCAGCAACCCATGCTAGCCGTAAAAGGCGACTATGCTTGTCGTAAGAGACGACAAACGGGATCGGGAGGTCAGGCTCGCTGACTTGGTTGATGCAAGTCATCGTATCCCAATTGCGTGGATCATGATGTCAATCACTGGCCTGTCTGGTCCAGACTCGATTACTAACAAACCGCCGTTATCTAGCTGCAATATTGCTGAGTGCGGCGTTAAACAACAAACAGACAAACATAATGTTGAAGACATAACCTTGACTTGACCCTTAATGTTAACTGAGTGTTGTTTCTAACAGGCATATCGAGGAAGGTGTCATGTTTCAAGCCTCTTCCTCCAACCCGTACCAATGTAACAACTGACACCTCTGCTTCTACAACAACAAACCAGTCAACATTCGGCATCGACCTTCTCTCAACACACCCCTTGTTAAACGATACATTGCAAAACGGTACAGACGTCTCAGCCGATCAGGGGAAACTAGACCAGGTTGTTAACGGCGTGTACAAAGATCGAGAGACTCCACAACCCTTCGGGCCCTATGTTTATAGGGGACCCCAGGGTGCGGTGGTGGCTAGGCGGGGCTACATAGAACCAGACGAGGAGTTATGGGACGAAGAGCCAGACGAGTGGGAACCTCGTCACCAGCCTCGTAACAACCTTGGAATTTTAGGTAACCGTCTTATGGGTGGAGGTAATGGCAATGGATGGAGAGGTAACAGGCCCAGGGGAACGGGTAACCGGGGCTTGTATAGGGAGCCCGACGAGGAAGAAGAGGAAGAAGAGGAGGAGGAGGAGGAGGAGGAAGAGGATGGACCACGCTCAGGACGTCCGAATACTTGGACAGGAAACAGAAACAACTGGGGTGGTCCAGTAAATGGGGTGAATGCAAGGCCAGCGTTCGGACTGACCAGGAGACCTCCCAGTGCTTGGACCGGAGGTAGCTTGTGGAGGCGTCAAGTGTCGGACCGGAAACGGAGACAAGTGGCCGTTGTCTCGGGGAAGGTATCATGTGACCCCTTTCATAAAATAAGAATCGTCAATGTGACAGTGGGCTACTCTCACGACGGCATATGTAACAGCAGACGGCCAAGGTGTCGCAGGGATGCTACTTTAGATCAACAGGTGGCGCTTTGTGATGGCGCGGAGTCATGTGACCTCAGCTATGAACAGACGCCATTTGCAGAATGTCCTCGAGCAATCAATTTCGTCACCGTTGAACATGAATGTTTGCCAGGTGTGTAAAATAGATAAAATCGCACCATTTTTCCAAGGCTTCAGTTTTCCAAATTGATAATTGTTAATATTTCTTGTCAAATAGGTAAACATGTTTTTTATTTGTTCATTCTTTTAATTTTCGCAACACCACAAACATGATCATTGTTATACGGGTTGCATAAGCAATGGAGCTCTCAGTAATGAAACGCATTTCAATACATCTGAAACGAGTTTGGTAGCAGCAGTTTTAACAAAACAGCCACTCGTAACGTTAAATCGAAATGTGAACCTTTACGTTGTATAATACCTGTACATATCTGTAAATGTATTTTTTACAGATGAATCCACATTTGGTATATGTGACTTGGCAATTACAAGTAAAAATGGCCCCGTCATAGTTACATCCCCTGGCTATCCAGGAGGCACGTCGGGGAGGGCGGGAGACTTCATGACGTGTGAGTGCGTCCTCAGAACGGAGCCAAACTCCTCCATCACCATTACGGCCCTGTCAACTAACATGGCGGGCAACGAGACCCTGTGCACCGAGGACATGCTTCTCATGGAGAAGAAGACCCACCCAGAGGCCAAGAAGTTCATGGTCGTGGGGGAATTGTGTGGAAAGACTCGTCGAGAAGCCCAACCCCTCGGTAGCAATGTCATCCGGATGACGTACCTGACAGAGATACCTGCCGTGGCCGACAGGACCGGCTTCCTCGGCATATTCGAAGGTGAGTTTTGTATACAGTGATAAGCTTTATCCTCATCAGAGGTGCGTGTGCTCTACCCTGATAAAACGCATTCAGCTCAAGTATGCTCGATAATTTTTTTAGTTTCAATCTTTAATGGGATGTGAGCCCTACCCTGAAAACAAGTATTCCACAAGGAGCAGCTCCAACCTGTAAGGGGGGCACGGGTGGCCCAGTCGTCTAAGGCGCCGCAATTCGCTGTACAGAGTTGCGTCCCTTGGCCACGCCAGAAACCTATGATTGTGGGTTCAAATCCCGGTTCGCCCTAATTATGTTTCTAGGTTGGTCAGCACCATACCCGTGCTCGTGGGTTTCACCGAAGTTGTAAACGTCTAAGACCTGCATCACTTCGGGCTTTCCTCCCACATTAAGCTGACTTGCCGTGAAATGATTGGAATACTGTTAAAAGCGGCGTTAAACACAACTCACTCACTAAGGAGGTGAGTGTCGCACCCTGAACGCACGTGTTGCACAAAGATCAGCTCCAACCGTTTAGGAGTCAAGTGTCGTACCCTGAACACAAGGATCAACTCCAACCTGTTAGGAGGTAAGTGCCGTGCCCTGAACACAAGGATCAGCTCCAACCTGTTAGGAGGCGAGTGTGGTACTCTGAACACAAGGATCAGCTCCATCCTGTTAGGAGGTGAGTGTCGTACCTTGAACACAAGGATCAGCTCCATCATGTTAGGAGGTGAGTTCGTTACCCTGAACACAAGGATCAGCTCTAACCTGTTAGGAGGTGAGTGTCGTACCTTGAACACAAGAATCAGCTCCATCCTGTTAGGAGGTGAGTGTCGTACCTTGAACACAAGGATCAGCTCCATCCTGTTAGGAGGTGAGTTCGTTACCCTGAACACAAGGATCAGCTCCATCCTGTTAGGAGGTGAGTTCTTTACCCTGTCCACAAGGATCATCTCCAACCTGTAAGGGGGTGAGTGTCGTACCCTGAACACAAGGATCAACTCCATCCTGTTAGGAGGTAAGTGCCGTGCCCTGAACACAAGGATCAGCTCCAACCTGTTAGGAGGTGAGTGTCGTACCTTGAACACAAGGATCAGCTCCATCATGTTAGGAGGTGAGTTCGTTACCCTGAACACAAGGATCAGCTCTAACCTGTTAGGAGGTGAGTGTCGTACCTTGAGCACAAGAATCAGCTCCATCCTGTTAGGAGGTGAGTGTCGTACCTTGAACACAAGGATCAGCTCCATCCTGTTAGGAGGTGAGGTCGTTACCCTGAACACAAGGATCAGCTCCATCCTGTTAGGAGGTGAGTTCTTTACCCTGAACACAAGGATCAGCTCTAACCTGTTAGGAGTCGAGTGTCGTACCCTGAACACAAGGATCAGCTCCAACCTGCTAGGAGTCGAGTGTCGTACCCTGAACACAAGGATCAGCTCCATCCTGTTAGGAGGTGAGTGTCGTACCCTGAACAAAAGATCAGCCCCAACCCTTAAGGAGGCGAGTGTCGAACCCTGAACACAAGGATCAGCTCCAACATGTTAGGGGGTGAGTTCGGTACCCTGAACGCAAGGATCAGCACCAACCTGTTAGGGGGTGAGTTCGGTACCCTGAACGCAAGGATCAGCCCCAACCCGTGAGGAAGTGAGTTTCGTACCCTGAATACAAGGTTAAGGTCGAACATGTAAGGAGGTAAGTGCCGTGCCCTGAACACAAGGACCAGCTCTAACCTGTATGGAGATAAGTGCCGTGCCCTGAACACAAGGACCAGCTCTAACCTGTATGGAGGTGAGTGTCGTACCCTGAACACAAGGATCAGCTCCAACCTGTATGGAGGTGAGTGTCGTACCCTGAACACAAGGACCAGCTCTAACCTGTCAGGAGGTGAGTGTCGTACCCTGACGACAGGGATCAGCTCCAGCCTGCTGGCTATACAGGCAAAGAGTGTTGTACGAACAAAGGCCTCGTCTCGACGTACCAATGAATGTGTTTAGTTTGGACTGTTGTTGCTCTAACTCCCCCCCACAGACCTGGACACCATGGTGTCCCTGACAGCCGTGACATGTAGGTACATCATCACGAATAGTCCACTGATTATGCGAAAAAGGTCGTAAGTGTCTTTAGTTTTCTATATTCTGACTTTATTCCAGCCCATGGTCCCAACTCCAGCCAAGCTGCCCTGCTCATGACCTGCCGTGACATCAGCTCCGTCCCGGCCATCACAGAACAGGGGACGCAACCCAGCAACGCGCCAAGGTAGTTAAACTGTTATTTATTCCGTTTGAATTTGGACACAGCTACAGGATGACTTCTCAATGGCGAAAGACATCTGCAAGGATGGTAGATAGATCAAAATCCCATTGCTAATGGAAAGAAAAATTCATTGCAGCAATTGATGATATCACTAGGCATGTAGAAAATGATCATACACTCACTCACTCACTCACTCACTCACTCACTCACTTACTCACTCACTCACTCACTCACTCACTCACTCACTCACTCACTCACTCACTCAATCAATCACTCACTCACCCCAAAAAAACACCCACCCAACCACCCACCCACTCACTCACTCACTCACCCTCTCACTCACTCACTCACTCACTCACTCACTCACTCACTCACTCACTCAGAATTCTGTTAACCGACCCCCTGTTTAATCCCTCACGGTTATCGTTTTCCGCGTCTAGATTAATGTTTGCCTGATACAGTGTTGGATTCAGTCTATTACCTCACTTCTTTCTATCCCGTGAATGTTACATAGTACCAAGCCAGCGACAAAGGACCATGCAACGACCAAGTGGACGCTAAAGGTTTGATCTGTATAGTTGAAAACAATGCATCATTTTTTCTATGTGCAGTGCAAGCAAACCCATAACAACATCAGCCCCCAACGTGGTAAAGACGACAGCATCCATCGCCTCCGCTGGTGGAGTTGGTGCCGTCATGGGAGGGGAAGGGAGGGACCCGGTGAAGGATGAGGCTGCTGATGCTATACCAGGTACGTGATATACTGGTCCTGGGGAACAAAAGCGTCGGTGCGATGTATTGGATAAATCTGGATAGGTGTAGATGGATAGAAATGGATGATTTAGACGGGATGGTCGGGGTTGGTGCAGATGGAATGGTCAGGGTGGCGTAGATGGAATGGTCGGGGTGGTGTAGATGGAATGGTCGGGGTGGTGCAGATGGAATGGTCGGGGTGGTACAGATGGAATGGTCGGGGTGGTGTAGATGGAATGGTCGAGTTGGTGTAGATGGAATGGTCGGGGTGGTGCAGATGGAATGGTCGGGGTGGTGCAGATGGAATGGTCGGGGTGGTGTAGATGGAATGGTCGGGGTGATGTAGATGGATAGATATGGATGATTTAGATGGGATCGTCGGGGTTGGTGCAGATGGAACGGTCGGGGTGGTGCGGATGGAATGGTCGGGGTGGATTTAGATGGGATCGTCGGGGTTGGTGCAGATGGAATGGTCGGGGTGGTGTAGATGGAATGGTCGGGGTGGTGTAGATGGAATGGTCGGGGTGAATTTAGATGGGATCGTCGGGGTTGGTGCAGATGGAATGGTCGGGGTGGTGTAGATGGAATGGTCGGGGTGGTGTAGATGGAATGGTCGGGGTGGTGCAGATGGAATGGTCGGGGTGGTGCAGATGGAATGGTCGGGGTGAATTTAGATGGGATCGTCGGGGTGGTGCAGATGGAATGGTCGGGGTGGTGCAGATGGAATGGTCGGGGTGGTGTAGATGGAATGGTCGGGGTGGTGCAGATGGAATGGTCGGGGTGGATTTAGATGGGATCGTCGGGGTTGGTGCAGATGGAATGGTCGGGGTGGTGCAGATGGAATAGTCTGGGTGGTGTAGATGGAATGGTCGGGGTGGTGCAGATGGAATGGTCGGGGTGGTGCAGATGGAATGGTCGGGGTGGTGTAGATGGAATGGTCGGGGTGGTGCAGATGGAATGGTCGGGGTGGTGTAGATGGAATGGTCGGGGTGGTGCAGATGGAATGGTCGGGGTGGATTTAGATGGGATCGTCGGGGTTGGTGCAGATGGAATGGTCGGGGTGGTGCAGATGGAATAGTCTGGGTGGTGTAGATGGAATGGTCGGGGTGGTGCAGATGGAATGGTCGGGGTGGTGCAGATGGAATGGTCGGGGTGGTGTAGATGGAATGGTCGGGGTGGTGCAGATGGAATGGTCGGGGTGGTGCAGATGGAATGGTCGGGGTGGTGCAGATGGAATGGTCGGGGTGGTGTAGATGAAATGGTCGGGGTGGATTTAGACGGGATGGTCGGGGTTGGTGCAGATGGAATGGTCGGGGTGGTGTAGATGGAATGGTCGGGGTGGTGCAGATGGAATGGTCGGGGTGTTGCAGATGGAATGGTCAGGGTGGTGTAGATGGAATGGTCGGGGTGGTGCAGATGGAATGGTCGGGGTGGTGCAGATGGAATGGTCGGGGTGGTGTAGATGGAATGGTCGAGGTGGGTGTAGATGGATAGATATCGATGATTTAGATGGAATGGTCGAGGTGGGTGTAGAAGGAATGGTCGGGATGTGTGTCAATGGAATAATGGAGGGGTTGGATGTAGATCGAATGATGGAGGGGTTGGATGTAGGTGGAATGCATGGGGTGATATAGATGGATAGGTTAGTGTGAAATGTAAATGAGTGTATTGGTTTTGCAGGGGGACTTCTCTCGGGTGTCGTGGCGTCTCTCGTCTCCGTCATCGCCATCATGGGCAGCATCTTCGTCTACCTGCTCTACAGAAGGTAAGCAAGTTACATTATGTTTGTACTAGAACACAGTCGTTTGAACGTCAAGAAGTAAATGCAGTAGTTAAACAACGCAAGACTCACGCTTTATTTCACTCTAACAGATGATCAATCATTAACTTTTTGCACTGTTACGTACGGTAAGTCTACGATCTCTTCTTTTTATAGGGCGGTCGGGTAGCCTAGTGGTTAAAGCGTTCGCTCGTCACGCCGAAGACCCGGGTTCGATTCCCGACATGGGTACAATGTGTGAAGCCCATTTCTGGTTTCCCCCGCCGTGATATTGCTGGAATATTGCTAAAAGCGGCGTTAAACAATACTCATTCACTCACTCATTTTGTACAGGTCCCAGAGGAAGAAGATGAAGGAATACAACCGACAGTCTACTGGAAGCAGTGGGTCCTGGTACAATGACCCAACCTATACTGAAGCCGCGTACAACCAGCCCGACACACCCGCCACTGTCAGTCAGCCCGAGATCCCTGTACAAAAGACAACAGTTGACAGTGCCACATACACATCGCCACAAGAAATAACGCCGGCGTCTACAACATCCACCGAAACAGCGGCACCGACTCCAGCACCACCTCCTTCTGCCCCACCGAGGCGGAACAGGAAACGCCAACAACGAGACGACATCGTCTACGACAATGCTGGCGCTGGCACGGAAGATGACTACGCTAGCATATCGGACATCTATAACAACGCCAATCTGAAGTAAACTATGGCGCCGTGATCGTTCCGGTCGGTGCACCCCACCCTTGCATGGCGTCTTTTCCCTTGTGAACAGGATTGGTATGTCTTCCGTGTGTCGAAGTGTTGCGCCTATTGTGGGACAGCTTCATCCGCGCCCTGATGTCACATGCCAAGCTGTGCTTATACTCATTGCCTGGCCCCAGCGACAGTGAAATGTAAATTTTTAAAATATTCACACCAACATAAATTATTTATCAACTTTTTAACTCCATGGTCACGTTAGGAATCTTCGCATTTTTTTTGGACAACCAACTGTGCCTTAGTAGGAAAGGAGCTATGCGCCAACACATTTTGGAAATATTTAGCCTTGTTATAATTGCACACGTCGAGCACCGCTTAACTTCCATATTTCCACCTGTCTCAATAAAATCATGAACACATGCTGAGCAATTCTTGACTTCCCATCCACAATTCAGTGCATACCGTGCTCTGCTTACCCCAAGACCACAATTCAATGCATACCGAACGCTGCTTACCCCAAGACCTCAATTCAGTACATACCGAACGCTGCTTATCACAGACCACAATTCAGTGCATACCGAACGCTTCTTATCACAGACTATATATTCAGTACATACCGAAGGCTGCTTATCACAGACCACAATTCAGTGCATACCGAGCGCTGCTTATCACAGACCACAATTCAGAACATACGGAACGCCGCTTATCCCAGACCACAATTCAGAACATATCGAAAGCTGCTTATCACAGACCACAATTCAGTGCATACCGAACGCTGCTTATCACAGACCACAATTCAGTGCATACCGAGCGCTGCTTATCACAGACCACAATTCAGAACATACGGAACGCTGCTTATCCCAGACCACAATTCAGAACATATCGAAAGCTGCTTATCACAGACCACAATTCAGTGCATACCGAACGCTGCTTATCCCAGACCACAATTCAGAACATACCGAACGATGCTCACTCCAGACTATAATTCAGTACATACTGAGCGCTGCTTATCCCCAGACTATAATTCAGTACATACCGAGCGCTGTTTGTCCCCAGACTATAATTAAGTACATAACGAGTACTGCTTACCACTGAGCCAATATTCAGAGCAAATCGAGCGCTGCTTACCTCCAGACCATAATTCATTCCATACCAAGTGCTGCTTCCCCTAAGCAATACTTAAGTCAGCGAGCCTGACCTCCCGATCCCGTTAGTCGCCTCTTATGACGAGCAGTGTCGCCTTTTACGGCAAGCCTGAAACGTCTACAGTAGACTACGGACATAACGAACTCAAAGGGACCACTAATTTTAGTTCGTTATAACCGTAGTTCGTTATAATCATATATACAGCATAACTACTGCAAATAGTCGGGACAAAAAAGTAAGTTCGCTATATCCGTCAGTTCGTTATAAGCGTGTTCGTTATAAACGTAGTTTACTGTATATAGGCACACAGCTATTCAGCGTGAGGTCACCGTTTCATAAACATACTGTCACTATCCAGCTGTTCGTCATATGATGTTGACCCAATGAAGTCCCCATGTCCCATGCTGACTGTCAGGTCACTGCTGTGTGTTGACGAAATGCGGTCACCCCGTCATATACTGTCAACAGAACCATTCGTCATGTGTTGATGCAATGAGGTCACCCAGTCATAAACACACTATCAACACGGCTATTCGTCATGTATTGATGAGGTCAGCCAGTCATGAACACACTAGCAACACGGCTATACGTCATGTGTGGACAGAATGGTGACATCGTCTCCCATAAGGACTGTCAAATCACACCTCTTCGTCGTGTGTCGTCACGATGGGGACAAGGAGTCACAGATGGCGGAAATGTGAGACGCGATGAGATCATATACCCTTTACGTGAAGACAACAAACATATGTGCATCATGTATTGACTCTATGAGGTGAGGTGAAATGGGGTTTAACGTCGCGTCCAAGATTATTGCACTTATATAGCGACGTGCATGCACGTGATTGTGTGTGTGTGTGTGTGTGTACGTGTGTGTGTGTGTGTGTGGCTGCTTTTACTAGTCCGGACTAATGCCGATTTAAAGTGCTAGCCCACTGAAATACCATGCCGCATTTGAACATGAATACCCCACTTAGACACAGTACACTGACTCCTAACCGACCAGTCCTTAATTTGGCCCCTTAATGCCGAACGCCAGGCAGGGTAACAACAAATACCATTTTTTACGTCTTTTGGTATGACGCGACCGGAGATCGAACGCCGGACCTTCCGCTCTCCGGGCGGACGCTCTACCACCAGACAACGGAGGCGGTCCTCTATGAAGTCATGCATGGGTTCTATGCATGCTGTGAAAATAGATCTATTTGTCTGTGTGAAACGCTTCAGTTGGTTTGACTTCATTACCACTGTTGACTTGTTTTAGAACACGTTTAATAATTAATGCTGGTGTAAGGTATGAGTCGACGACATGCACGTAGAATAGAATTACTGACGTACTGAGGGTGAACCTGCTAGAGACGTCCCGGTTCAACCACCCTTGTCCTTGGTGGACACAGCAAAAACAACATAAAACACGACAGTCTGTAGTGGCTGATTCAATGTTTCAGTGGAATCAACACATGTTCTGGTGCATCCTGTCAGCTTCGTTTGCATCGTCACATGTTCCGGTGCATCATGTCAGCTCCCGTTGCATCGTCACATGTTCTGTGCATCCTGTCAGCTTCGTTTGCATCGTCACATGTTCTGGTGCATCCTGTCAGCTTCAGTTGCATCGTCACATGTTCTGGTGCATCTTGTCAGCTTCAGTTGCATCATCACATGTTCCGGTGCATCCTGTCAGCTTCTGTGGAATCGTCACATGTTCTGTGCATCCTGTCAGCTTCTGTGGAATCGTCACATGTTCTGTGCATCCTGTCAGCTTCTGTGGAATCGTTGCATGTTCTTGTGCATATAACAACCATTTATACGAAACACAATCACTCGAAATATTATATATTCAAGACCGCATATACAGAGGCATAGTACTAGCTCGTACAAGAAGAATATTGTATTTATTATTTCCATGGAAAAACATTCATTGATTTTTGTGAGCTGCTTTATGACTGATGACCGATGTTTATTGACATGTATTATTAATATCACTGTCTAACTTCTCATCCTGGGTATAAGACATTATCAAAGGTCACTAGAACATGAGTGGAAACAGGTGGGTAGCTGGGCTGAAGGACGGATAGAACTGCCCACAAACTGTCAACTAACTAGACCGGAACAACGTGGCTAATTGTACCCGGATGGCATGTCCAGTGATCTGACAATGCTGTTTCAAACTGACACACAGTGTACCTGAAAATACAACATACAAGTTTAATTTTAATTACATGAAATAAATTATACTCAAACCAGACGCCAACATTATTTTGTTCTTTCTTATCGTATCTTTATACAATAAATAGAAGTACCAGTGAAGACAGGATTGACTAAGGGTTTTGATGCCGGCGAATAAACACACATGGTGATAAACGAGGACTGATGTTAGAACATAAACACACATGGTACGACACGAGGATTAATGTTAGAACATAAACACACATGGTGAGACACGAGGACTTATGTTAGAACATAAACACATATGGTAGGACATGGAGACTGATGTTAGAACATAAACACACATGGTAGGACACGAGGACTGACGTTAGAACATAAACACACATGGTAGGACACGCGTTTTCGTGTTTTCTTCATGTTTATTTCCAAAAATCGAACTTTTGAATTTTCTCTCGTTATTTCAATGTGTTTTTTGTTAAATCGAAATTTCGAATGTTTAACTTGCAATATACTCTGCAAAAAAAGAAAAACAAAAGTAGTAGCATCTTAAGTGCTTGACAGAGTGTGTTCACACAAACTTGATACCCAAAATGAATTGGTCATTTCTGCATGGATTGGGATTGGTTTCAGTGAAAAGATGGAAACATCTAAAAAACACAACCACGTGAGATCCTTGCACCGAAACACACTAAGGTGACACGGTTGTGCAACGTCACTTGTTGGGCTATTAGAACGCTGGGTTTTCATTTGCATGCCATCACTATCAAGTGAACAGCGACAACATGCCACGACTGACTAAAGCCCAACGCAACAACGCCATCGGCCGACTGCAAACAGGAGAATCAACTTCAGCTGTAGCATGGTATTTCCACGTAGCAACAAGCACCATTACAAGAACTGTGGAACCTTTATCAGACACACGGGACAACACATGTTCTTCCCAGATCCGGATGACCACGTATCGCTATTAACGCATAGGACCGATTCATACGGCTACGGCCACCTCCACAACTACGGCAATACCATGATTGCGTAGGATATCAGCCATGACAGTGACGAGACACATTTTATGCTTCGCCGTGCCGGTGGTACACGTCGTGTTTACAGGGGTCTCGGGGAACGGTATGCACGAAACTGCATACAGGAAGTGGACAGATTTGGTGGTGGTAGCGTGATGATGTGGACAGCCATCTCCTACACTGGTAGAACAGGCTTGGTACAAGTTCTGGGGAATTAAACGGTACAGCGTTACTTTCATGAGATTCTTCGGCCACACGTCCTTCCAATTATGCAACAAGCTAACGTCATTTTCCAACGAAGACATCGCCCGGCCTCACACCAAGACTAAAAACAGTTGTTTTTAGGAATGACAACATTCAAAGTCTCCAGATTTAAACCCCATCGTACATTTACGGGATGCAATGGATCAACGGCGTTGAGAACTTTGAGAGGGTGAACATTCCCAAAGCCACAATTCGGGATCCCCTAGCTTCCATGAGTCGGCGATGCCAGTCAGTTTTGGACCCTGATGATGGCTATAAAAGATATTGAGAACAGATGAGTGAGTGAGTGAGTACGGTTTTACGCCGCTTTTAGCAATATTCCAGCAATATCACGGCGGGGGACACCAGAAATGGGCTTCACACGTTGTGCCCATGTCGGGAATCGAATCCGGGTCTTCGGCGTGGCGAGCAAACGCTTTAACCACTAGGCTACCCGACCCCCCCCCCCCCCCCCCCCCCCCCCCAAACCTACTGTTCATAGTGTGTTCCTAGTGTGCCAATTAAGTGTGCCATGTTTGAACAATCGATTACCATCTGTTGATTATCTATATGATCTATTAAATATATATCTAAAATCACTTTTGCGTTTCTTTTGTTTTGCAGTGTTTAACTAGAAAATGCTCGAAGTAAAAATCGAAATTTAAAAAAAATAAACAATTAATTGAAATTCAAAGAAATTTCGAATTAAGATATAAATTTATGTTACCAAAGTGGCACCATTAAGCTTTCGTACACATGTTAGCATTGTAACCAACTGTCAGGCCACGGAATCACCGGGGAAGGTAATGAAAGAGTGTTACATGTCATGTCTTCAGTTGTATGCATGCT